CTACTGTCTCTTTGATCTTTGCCGTGCCGTGTTAGGTGCTCATGCAGTATGACAAGCTAGCCGATGGTACGACTGTAAAGAAGAACCTGATGGGTGTGATATACGTGCCGTTAACGGACAGGGAAGCACAGTACCCAATTGAGATGTAAGTCAATCATTGCTGAGGTGTGTCTGCGGCAGAGAGTGACTGAGGTGCAGAGACCGAGGCATAGAGTGACAGAGATGCAGTGACTGAGGCATAGAGTGACTGAGGTGTGTCTGCGGCAGAGAGTGACTGAGGTGCAGAGACTGAGGCATAGAGTGCCTGAGGTGCAGTGACTGAGGCATAGAGTGACTGAGGTGCAGAGACTGAGGCATAGAGTGACTGAGGTGTGTCTGAGGCATAGAGTGACTGAGGTGTGACTGAGGCATAGAGTGACTGAGGTGTGACTGAGGCATAGAGTGACTGAGGTGCAGAGACTGAGGCATAGAGTGGCTGAGATGCAGTGACTGAGGCATAGAGTGACTGAGGTGCAGAGACTGAGGCATAGAGTGACTGAGGTGCAGAGACTGAGATGCAGTGACTGAGGCATAGAGTGGCTGAGGTGTGACTGAGGCATAGAGTGACTGAGGTGCAGAGACTGAGGCATAGAGTGACAGAGATGCAGTGACTGAGGCATAGAGTGACTGAGGTGCAGAGACTGAGGCTTAAAGTGACTGAGATGCAGAGACTGAGATGCAGTGACTGAGGCATAGAGTGGCTGGGGTGCAGAGACTGAGGCATAGAGTGACTGAGGTGTGACTGAGGTGCAGAGACTGAGGCATAGAGAGACTGAGATGCAGCGACTGAGGCATAACGTGACTTAAGTGATTACGTGCTACTGGGTAGTTGAACAAAGAGATCACGAAGCTTGAGAGATGCAGAACTTGATCTCAAAAATGTGCTGTTTTAGTAACTGCATCTTCATATCAAAGTTGATTGTATAGAAGGCCGAAAAATATAATGATAATACGATTGGTTATCGATCAACTCTAATGATCTCTTTGTTTATTTTCTTACTTTAGTGCTTAGGATGATCTGTGAGAAGCTTGCTGGCATCATGAGGACCACATCGAGTGGCAGCCCTCCTCCATCTTGTTTCAAGTATTCTCACAACGCATAACATTCGCATCTCACGTAACAGTCGTGTGGCGTACGTAGCAATTTATGTGTCACTGCCTGTCTCGCTATTGCGTCACGCCTATTAATTGTGCCATGCTTGGTGCAGAGTTGGTGCTGAGAGGTCCTGCGATCGTTATTTGGCCCTCGTCATGAGTTCTCATCAATTCAATACTGCTTTTTGCCGGAGTCGGCCGTTTCCGTAAGACAGTAACAATTTCAATGAAAAGGTATTTACGTTTAAGAACAGATTCGATGTCGGTAGTGAAACAGAATTAATGGATGGTCTAGTAGCCACTCAATAGACATTATCGTTATTGTCATGGGCCTGGAATGAAAAGGACTATTTATGAAGTGAATGAGTACTCATTAATTGTAACTTGATCAAATGTTTACGCTAGTAATTCCTACAAAATTTCGGGCAGTATGTTTCATCCAATGTGTATACCTAACCGGTAGGTCTTGCTACCTTGCTAAAAGGTCTGTTTGCATCATCAGAATCGAGGATAATGCTGGCTGCGTGTTTATTGTAGCTGCGGCTATTGCCTATTGCGCAACAGCAGAATTGAGATTGACTCCTGCTCATAAACTTGTTACTACATTTGTATTGTATGCCAAATATTATTTTCTAGTAGAATTACGATTACCATGAACATATATATATACTAGTCCCATGAGTATAGATGTGGTCATGCTAATACATAGTATACATATTATGTACATGGTATCAGTTATCAGTTTACACATGTTCAGCTGCATGTTAAATCAGCTTTCTGTCTGCCTGTTTGTTTTTGTTTTTCTCTCCCTCTCTTACTCTCTCTCCCTCTCGTTCGCTCTCTTTCTCTCGCTCTCTCTCTCTTTCTCTCACACACACACTCTTTCTTTCTCTACCCCTCCCTCCCTTCCTCTCTCCCTCTCTCCCCCTCCCTCCCTACTTCTCTCCCTCTCTCCCTCTCTCCCTCTCTCTTCCTTCCTCTCTCTCTCTCCCCCTCTCTCCCTTCCTCTCCCTCTCTCCCTCTCTCACTACCTTCCTCCCTACCTCCCTCCCTACCTCTCTCTCTCTCTCTCACTGGTTTTCTCTCATTCTCTTTTAATTATGTATACTAGTACTTGGCATACACATGTTCATGGTGTCGATGCACACATGTTCAGCTGCATGTTAAATCAGCTTTCTGTCTGCCTGTTTTATTTAATTTTTCTCTCTCGTATATACATAGCATACACGTGTTCATGGTATCAAAACGCACATTTTAACTGGCTTTCAAATCGGCTTGTTGTATTGGTGATATTGCTTTTCACGAGCTGCGTGATTTCTTTTTAGTCATTATAGATCGTGATTAGTCACGTGACATTTTGAGTTTTTGCTTCGTTTGGCATTCCAGTTTTTGATTTGCTAAAGAAAACGCACGCAGGAGCCATTGTTCTCCTCACTGTGATAGTATACATATGATTGTTATTTACACTAGCTAGTCTGTCAGGGTACCAGTGACTACCCTGTGTGATGCTTGGATGTTTCGATGGCGTATGACCTATTTATTTAAAGGGGTCACGTGGACGAAATTACGAGAACCCTTGACCTTCTGAACTTTGATCTCATGGTGTGAAATTCCACCATCTTGAGAGCCAATTGAGCAAGATTAATGTGTGCAATAAAAATCTTGTACAACATTGTATTGTTCTCCAGAAACCAACTTTGAAGATAGCAGTCGTAAATAGTAATGATAGTAATTATAGTAATTAGGATTGTCGCTCGTAGTTAGCATGTTTAATGTAGGCCTACCTGATCCCAACGAGAATACCGTAGCTTTGTCTACTTTGCTGTTTTGTTGTGTTATGTAGCATTATGTTATTAGTACTTTATTACAGGAACATAATATCTGGACTTAATTGCTCGTTATTAATGAAGCGTTATATCGTATACTTATGTACTTGTACATATAGTCCTGATATAGTGTATGTGCGTATGTGTGTAATGTACATATTTGTATACCAACGTACTCGTGTTTTATGTAATGAAATACGTGTTCAGATGCCTCGTGGAAGGCAACAGGCTCGTAAGTTTAATGAACGGTGATATGTTTTTGTTTAACGATGCTTTGGCCATGTTTGCAGTTTGCTTTTACACAGACTGCCACACGCGCGTAGTCGTTGGTACAATATGCCTGGTGTAAAGTTTCCATCTAACGAGAGAATTTATTCTGTATTTAGCTGGTTGACACGAGTTGTATTTGGGCGTCCGTAAACCTTCATGTGAACGCCAGCAAGCGTACACACACCGGGGTGGCATGAGACGCACCCTGGCGTTGTTTTTTTGTAAGCTTGCAGGCGATAGGCTGAGGCTGCTGTTTTTACTGACCTATCCTTCTGAGCAAGATAATTTTCTCCCTTTGGAAATTGTTGTTGGGTCAGTCAGTTTTTGTGCTTTGTTCATGTGTGCGGCAGGTCTGTGCGCCAGTGTCGACATTGCAGCACTTAATTTACTAAGCATGGTCTTTTAGAACGTTCTCTTGCAGTGATGATTGGCTAGACTTGTTTGCTGTTTATCACGCCTTGTGGATAGGTCAGTTAGACAGAGAATAATCATTTGTGTTTGAATAGCTGTCGATGCTACTTTTAATTACCGTTACATGTGAAATGAACCTCATTTACTTTCGCACAATTTCTGTTCATCGATGGTAAGTGATGTTGAAACTTTATTTGTGTTTTTCTACTTGTTTTGTTATATGGAGATGAGCGTTTGTGTTGTTGACCAATTTCCACAGCACATATAAATCTGAAAATTGTTCCCCGTTCCTGATTGTCAGTGGTTCAATACATTGGATTTTTCGCGTCGTATTGAATTTATGCATATACGTACAAATTCATTTTTATGAAGCTTTATCCAACGTCCTACAACTCGTGTCATCGGCGTGCGCAGAAGGATATCTATGGGGAGTTATTATATGTGATGGTAATCTCAATTCAGAAATTACGTTCCGGCTTATTTTACCACAGATGTTCATAGGAATAAGTGGTCAGAAGTACTACTAGCTACTCTTTATTTTAAATTTTGTGATGTTGTCCTGCCTGAGGTAATGCGCGTGTAGAGTAATGGTTGGTGCAGCAACTTGCTTAATATAGTTGACAATGTGATGACAATGCCGCCGTGTTAAATTTAAAATTAAATTTATTTTAAAACTGTACTCGTTTTTATTCCTTAAAATGTATCCAATATGTCTGGCTATATTGTATTTAACATAATTGATGATGCTATTCTTTGTGAGAATTTGCCAAACGAGTGTAATAGGGTTGTCAAGTGTGTGGCGGGGGGGGGAATGGCCGTCGGTCGGGCGTTCGTGCGTGCGTGCGTATGTGCGTGCGTGCATGCGTGCGTGCGTGCGTGCGTGCGTGCGTGAAGAAAGTAAAAAAGTGAAACTTTTTTTAATTATAAAAAACTACCGAATATTTTTCACAATACACATTTATATATATATATATATATACATATATAAATATATATATATATATTATATTATATTACTTTTAACAATTCCTTATCTATATTTGCATGAACGACATAGCAAGAAGCGTATATACAGATGATGAAACACTGCATAATAATAATAAGAAGAACGACGACGATATTATACAAGCTACAGACTTATACGTAATTCTACAAAAGCGGTTACACGGCTGTCGTTCTAGCAATCTGATTGAGGATGGCAAACGTACGGTTCGCGTCGGATGTTCCTCTATTTTATTTATATAAATTACTAAACGCCGTACTGTGGATATATATATATATATATATATATATAAGAAGTCCTACTCGCTCTGACCCTAGTTCTAACAAGACGTCGTCATTTGACGAGCACGCAATTGGGAAAAATCAGAAGGCTCATCGGAATTCAAAATTTCGATTCTCGGACGAGCTTTCTGGCGTTTCGTGCGATTTCTGAGTTAGCGTGGCGTAGACAGCCAAGCTCTTGACAAGAACAATCACGCGGACTAGTTAATCAACGGATTACCCACCACAGCTCTCACTCCTCACTCTCCTATCTCATCCTAATATATATATATATATATATATATATATATATATATATATATATATATGTATATATATGGATAAGCAGTCTGCACTGTGGTTCCCCCGACGGTGTACAATGAGATCGAGGAAAAGCTGTATACATGTATTTGTCAGTTTCTATGCAATCTAACGAATGCGTTTTGCTGGTGAGTTTTCACATTATGCGTGTTTGTTACAACAAGACAACGAAATCGCTAATCACGCACGAGAGCAAGCTTGCATCGAATGAACTACCGAAAACTCTTTCCACGGGGAGATATATGAGACGACACCAAAAACTGTTCGTGTTCTGTAAGCGTGCCAGCGAATTAGTGTTGTTATAATTATAAAATACGGGTAAACGTGCGGGTGTACGCGCTTAGGATATGGATACGTTCTGGATATTTACAGAAGCGCTATAGGGAAGCGACCGGCAGTCTCGTCTGCTTTACTCAAATCAGAAGGAGAAACTTACGAATAACAACAAGATCTAATAATAAATATTATTACAGTAATCTTACTACTCTTATCTGGCCGATTAAAAGATAATGTGTCACTAAAAGAATCGTTTTTCTAAGATGCTTCCAGAACATAATAGCGCCCTCTGGATGTTAAGGGGAGATTGATTGACTCATGGATTTACGGGAAGTGTTCTAGAACACAGAACGCAAATTACATGGGTTAGGGTAACGCAACATACATTGAATCTGATTGTATATCGTATTTGGAGTTAATCTCTATAGATTACACTGGCCAGGTTAAACACGCATGACTACAGGAACTTGGGAAATCTCTGGGTTGAAGGAATGAAAGCTAACACAATACAAGGTAATTTATTCCCGTCCGCATTGTGCATGATCGAAGGCAATAAAAAACTATATTAGTCTATCAATTGATTCATTCGTAATCGAAGAATTTTAAACTAAATCTATGTACATATGAAATTAAAATATTTGGTTACTTTGACATATACATAAATATCCGTATAGATTTCCACAAAAAAGCACATTGAACGGTGACGTAAACCACTTCGCTAGTACGGCACTACACTATAAATTTACAGAAAACCTATACTTTACGCCGATTTATGTCTATTACACATCAATGACAAACGTTTGAAGAAAAAAATTACAAACCAAAATTTGAACGCGATAATAAATTGTTGCTGTATAATTGAACAATTTGTATTAATACTGAAGTATCTTATTTAATTGCGCGATTGATTGTGCAACGTTTATGCGTGTATTTTTGATACGATCACCTTAATCGACTACGTGATCGATTAGGCATGCATTATTTGATGACGTAACTTGAGTGATTGGATATAGGGACCAGACTCGTGAGTGAAACAAGCAGCGAATGAGACGCGAGTCCAATTGAACGCAATAATCTGCAATATTGAGCACGGCCGGGGTTAATAGATGCAAATTCTGCGATGATATTTCGCCATGACGGCTTAATACATAAAAGCTCACGCAGTTACACGATTATGTGCACGAACATGGCGTTGCGTTCATGCCCCAGACCTGTACACGTGTCGATGCACACACATAGGCCTACATCGCTGGTTAGTAAAGCACGAAGGGTCGTTGTCGTATAGGGTAGTACAAATATGTACCCGAGGTAACTATCTGATATGGTTAGGGTTAGGGTTAGGGGTTGGGGCTAGGGTTAGGGTTAGGGTTAGGGTAAGGGAGTAGGCGTAGGCGACATACTCGCTGACACTTCGGGTGCTACATATACGACAACGACCCCTTTAGCACAACTGTTTGCCCTTAAAAATTTCAGTGTTATTTAACCTTGGTGTTGATTCTGCGGGTATTATAGAAGCGGTTCTGTGCAGAAGAAACTAAAGTTGAAGAATGCGTGGTTGCTACTAGTCAGGACTTTCTTCGCAATCTCACCTACACTGTTAGTAGTGAGAGTATATTTATATGTCCGCGTATTGTCAGCCGTGTATTTACTGTGCCTTCAGTGTACAAACACAATTTGAAGCGATGTATTGTAAAACATCGAGAGGTAGTTTCACCATTAGAAAGCTCACTTCACGTAGCTTCCTAATCTAAAGAAATATAATCATGATTCCGACGTAATGTCACGGTGTTTTGCCGTTAGCTTTCGCGAATGTCACCCTCGTCACTATTCACCCGCCAAACGACAGACGAGCATCGAGAGCGTGTGAAGCTGCAGCGATAGTAAACAACGATACCGTCAGGTGGCGCCACTAAACAACTCCACGCGCAAAACTACCGTCGCGCTCATTCGTTCATCGCGTGGCCCGGCGAGCAGTCCTCGTCGCTGGAGTTATTGTTACCGCTCGTCGCCTCCGACGAGCGGTCGACGCGTGGCTCCCCCTGGTAGTCGGCACAGCCGACGATCTTCGCCGCGTGCTCCTGCGCTTTCTGTCGCAGCGAGGCTATGCTGTTAGAGCGCCTCTCCTCGCGGTGCGTCGGGTTATCGGCTGCCTCGTCCAGCTTGTCGTCGGCATGGTCGCCATCGTTGCTCGTGTCGCAATCGTCCTTGAGCACGTCCGCTGCCTCAACCGACTTCTTGTGCATGCCTGCACAAATAAACGTTGAGTCTGAAACGCGAGAAGCCGCGAGAAAATAAGCCGCGCTGGGCGAGTCTCTGCGGCGTTATATCGGCGATGTAGAAATATTGAGATAAAATAAAATAATTTGCGATTAAAAGCGCAGAGAGGAGTGTTCGCAGCATTAGTCGAACGATAGGTATGCAGATATACACGATTCACCGGCGTTACCGATAGATATCGATTAGTTATATCGATTATTATTATTATCGATTTATTAGTTATATTCGATTAGTTATATCGATTTGTTAGTTATATCGATTAGTTAGATACCGATAGTTACCGATAGATATCGAGATAATAAAAAATTATTTGCGAAAAATTACTGTGAGTTATTATGATATACAGAGGTGAGTGTTCGCAGCATCATTGAAAAGATAGGTATACATACAGATATATACAATTGTTTACGTGTTTTTGATCAGACGTTCGCGTGAGAAAGCGGTTGAGTACGTAGGATGGTAGAGAGAGAGAGAGAGAGAGAGAGAGAGAGAGAG